ATGCTGCTTGATGTAAGAATCTAGAACGATAAATTAATGTATACAATTATTTTAATGAGAGATGAGTAGAAGGGCCGTGATGTAGGAGAGCAGGTATAAAGACAGTGGGTAGCGAAGACTAAAATCAAAACCTTTCCTTTATGTTTCAAGTTCACTTAAAATAGACGCTAAAATATATATATATATATATATATATATATATATATATTGATTTATTATTTCCCTTATCAACAGAATTTACAGATTTTTTTTAACTAGAAGGAGTTAAGATTTTGACATTTTGTTGTAATAATAAAATCTACACAATCCATGGTAATTCAAGGTGAATTACAACAGGTAAAATTCGCAACAGAACTAAAAGAAAGAAACTCCAAAAAAGAAACCAAAAATAGGAGAAAAAAAACTACTGTGTCAAACTACAAGTCACATAGAAAGTATTTAAGTACCTCCAAGTAAAAAAAGACGGTACCTAGGTTTCAAATGCAGTTAAAAAAGAAGAAAAAACTTTCTTAGAGCTTTAATTTTAATTTCAAGCTAATAGATTAAATTTAATTTCAAACCGAATTTGATTGAAATCTTTTCTTCATATCAATAAAATCTTTATATCTGTCCATATTGTCAATAATATTTAAATTATTCAGAATTGTTTTTTAAGCTTTTAGAAATTTCGTGGAGGTACCTAATATTTAAATACATATATTCGATATCGACCTTACCAGTCAAGTTACTGGTATCAAGTAAAATTATTCAAAAATGAAAGTGAAAGTATGAAACCGAATGATGATATTAAAATTTGCTATATTATTTATTACATTGTTGTGTTGATCTAATGAAATAAAATTGGTTTAAATTTTAAGTCTTTTATAGCATTTAAAATATACACGTGTGTGTGTATGTGTGTTTTGTAGATTTTCAGTGGAACTGTACCCCACTAAAAATCTACAAGGTACACACACAGCCTAACTACACTAGATGTTGCTACTGTCTTTTGCTTAGCAAGTAGATTATTTTTTTTTGTTTTTTTACGGGGTGTAATTGGTGTCCACACTTTAAACGATTTTGAATTCCGAGTTGTCCTTCTCGTAGATTGGTTGCTATTAAACCCTAACTGAGAGATGAAGAGATGGCTATATTGCGTATTTGTGCAAAAAGCTAACACAACGGCTTCAGCTAGAATTTGAACTCAACACGTGCATCTTACAGCGACAATCGTTACGCGCACATCCCCGCACACATAAAATACATTTACAAATCAATTATATATATTTAAATATAAATATATATATATATATATATATATATATATATATATATATATATATATATATATAATATATATATATATATATATATATATATATATATATATATGTGTGTGTGTGTGTGTGTACATCAACGAGACAGTGTACTCAATCTTTTGTTTTCATATGCGTTGTAATAGGAAGTGCAACACGTGTTGTGAAGGAATGTGGAATTGGTGTCGCTTACGAGCTAATAGTTTCTGTGGGTCAGAGGTTGCGTCAAATGATGCCATTAGGATCAATGAATAACCTGATCTTTGGATTCTGCGCCTATTCTGCGGAATGAGTCGAGGTTCTTATCTTGCATTAATATTCAGTGTATTGCCTGGCAAGTTCACTGCTAGAGAAACTATTATGCTATTTTAAATTCTGAATTAACCCACAAGTGTTCAGACAATTGAACTTATGCGTATTATTAGCCTAACTTATACATTCTGTTTTATGTGTCGTGTCACTTGAGGACGTCAGCGATCATAGCTCTCCATAATTTCCTATCCTATGTAACTCGAACTAATATTTGCCTCCTTACTATTCCTCACCCTCCTTGTTTCGTCATCCACTTACACAAGTTACTTAGGTCGATTACTCACTATTTCCTCTCCCACTCTTGCCTTCAATGTCATGTGTGTGTCACATTTTCTAGCCCTCCTTTCCTCATTATATATCCAAGAAATGTCAACTTTCTCTTTCTGATTCCAAACAGAAGTGTCCTTCCTCGTTGCTCACATGTTCCGTTCATGGTATTCTCAGCATTCTTCTGCAGAACATGTCTGTTTTCTCAAATCTCTTTATCTGTGAGGAAATTGTCCAATATGCACTGCCATTTCATAGCAGTTCAGCATGCTTTTCTTGGTTTTCTAACGCAAAAATTAAGCAAACTGTTTTTCACTATTTCAATGTGCCTTTAGACTTCTGCGTTGTATCGTCTCTTAAAGCACTCCCGAGATAAACTCAGAGTTAACTTTCTGTACTTGCTTGGTTCTGATGAGTCCAATTCATAACACGCATCTTGGACTGTGTCTCTTCTTAAAAAAATAAACATAGATTTTGTCTACAACTGATCGTCCTTTTTTGTCGTTTTCTTTTACTGCCTTATTTAGGAGATTGTGCAGTTTATTCTCTGTGCCTCTCTAACTTTATAACGCGTGTACACCTCCGATCTCCCGACATGTTTAAGTTCCAGGACAGTACCGGGTTATCCGCTTGCAGGAACAGTAGAAGTCAACTGACACACTAATTATGTATCTTTTATCTCTACTGTCGCCAGGGATATTAGTCTGGCAATCGCGTCAAATTCAAATGCTTGATCATAATTTTCTTCCAGATTAAACGAAGTACTAGACAATTAGCGTAAAATCAGTTGTATTTAAAAATATGTACGTATAATATATTTATATGTATATATCTCACTTTATCAATTGTCTATGTAAGTAAAACTTTGTTCAGTTGTTACTTTCTCATATTGATATATGCATTTTGAGAAAGTTTACAGAAACTGTTCGTGGCTTTACAATTTCCAACACAGCATAAAAAATTCCTGAAGTAATTCTTTTTATATGACCTGCTCGTTTACAGGGAAAGTATTCATATAGCATAATCGATTGGCGGGAACGTACAGAGTCTATTTTTACACGCGTTTTGAGAGAAAATAAGCTCTTTTGTTTCGGATCGATTCGACTGGAAAACATTTTTACGACGGGATATTGTAGATAAGGGATTTTTTTTTAAATTTAGCCTCCACTGCCATTCTCTTCGTTCGTTTTGAAGAAAATAACATAGAATTCCTGGTCAATCGTCAAAGTCTGCAGGAAAACAAAGCATTCTTCCATATATGTTTGATATGTAACGTTATGTAGACAAACAGAACTTATTTGAAATGATGTTTAAAACGGAGACTATTTGGCCAAGAATTTGTTCATGGAAGTAGATCAAATTATACACCGTCTCTTGAATACATTTCCGATTGTTAAACTTTGAAGCAATTTTTAAGATTTTTATGCACTGGCATCTTTGATTCGAATATGGCATCACACCAAAACAAGACCATCAAAAGTTGGCATGTTTTATAGTCTTAGAAATAAAACAATCTTAATTTTTCTAAATTTATTTTATTGCTTATTCCTGTTTTTTTTTGTTTTGTTTTTTTGCTTTTGCTTTATTTTTTTTTTGATGCGATCAAAAACACTCTTCCGATTGGATGCTTTCCAAGTTAAATTTAAAAAATTTAAATGCAATGTCAATCGTTATCTATTGTCTTCTTGAATACTCTTCTATTACTCCTTAATAATGTTAGCTTTTTTTCTTATTCTTTCGAACTCAGTAATCCCTCGCGTTTTAATAGATTTACTGCCTTGGATCGAGTGAAATGAAAAAAAATAAATAAATAAAAATAATAAAAAAACATATAAAACACTACCATTGTAGTATTTCTTTTACTTTCGGTTTCATATCATTTAATGTTGGAGTTAATGGGAAATTTTAGCTTAAAACTTATTACACATTTTGTTTCCCTGTATGCATTTTTTCCATTTATTAATTTGTAAATGATATGTTAAGAAAGAATTATTATTCACAGTGACGAACTAATTATCTTTTTCTGAGACTTGCTTACCGCTATTTTACAGTAATTACGACCACATGCTGTCAATGTTGACATTGGGGTGAACAGATTTGAGATATTTTTTCTATGTGCTATGTTCTTTCAGGACGTTGGCGATCATGGCTCTCCACAATTTCCTGCCCTTTGTAGCTCTTAAGAATTTTTTTTCTTATCTCTCCTAAACTTTGCTAAGCCATACATTTCTAAGATATTGGCCACTAACAATGAATCCTATTGAATCCTATCTAATTTTATTTCTAATTATTTTTATGTTTATACATTCTTTTTATAGATACAAATATTTAAGTAAATACTATGTTTATAATAAACAGTATTAAACAACATTTATTGGCCTAAATGCCCGAGAAATTTTCATTGAAAATATTTGTCCTCCGACAGAAATCGAACCTGTATCCTATACGGAACCGTCATATACTCGACTGATTTGACGTCACTTTTACCTATAGCCTATCGGTGCACGTCAGAGAAGGGTAATTTTTTAACGCATTGTATATGTGCTGTATATCCATGATTATCTCACGCACATTCATATTGCTCATGTACGTGAGAGAACCGAACGCTCCTCTGTGGCCAAATCGGTTAAAGGCACGTCAGGCTATATGACGGTTCCGTATAGGATACAGGTTCAATTTCTGTCGGAGGACGAATATTTTCTATGAAGATTTCTCGGACATTCAGTCCGGTAAATGTTGTTTAATACTGTTTATCATAAACAGAGCATTTACTTAAATATTTGTATCTATAACAAGAACGTATAAACATAAAAATGTCTTAAAATAATTGTCGGACTTTGTCCATTTCATACTTCTAATTATGTTCATTCCCTCAGAAGTGCTGCAGATATAGTGGTCTATATAAATATTTGTATATGCATATGCACATGACCTTGTACCCATATCTGTACAGGAATTCTATTGAATGCAAGCCAGTATATTTGAAAAAAAAAAAAAAAAACAAGCAAACGAAAAAAAAACAAAAAAAAAAAAAACAAACGGATTTTATATTCTCTATAAACTCATTGTTTTTATATTATCACCGACATTCGTAGTTAAATATTTAAAATTTGAAATTCTCATAGATACGAACACCGAAGTTAAGCAACGTCGAGCCTGATTAGTGTCTAGATTGGTGACCGCTTGGGAATACCAAGTGCTGTAAGCTTGGATGTTCGGGTGATTTAATAGATAAAGCCTCTGAATTAGAAATTGAAGTGTCGAATCCCAGTTCTTGTCGGGTTTGTTACGCGCAAATACCTCTGGGAAAGATATTGATTCACCTTTTCTCTCTCCCCAGCTATGGGCTAATTAGTAGAACATGTATCAGTAAATCATTATTATCACTCAAAACTTATTAAAATATTTCTGGGTTTAATAATCCAGCGAAGGGTAGATAAGACGTAAAAAGAAATCAATTAATAAAAACAAGATTAATTAGATTTAAACTATCTCTGTCATTTTATATAACTTTCAGATCGTTATTTTTTGACCACTAAAAATAAGCTGCGTGCATCGGAAATAAATACGCCTACATCGAAACTTGAATTGTAATCCTTTGTATAATGAATATGCGGAAATAGGCAAATTAACTTAAAAGTTGAATAAAAAAAACAAAAAAACAGCTGCGTTGCTGTTTTTACAAGGCTGCTGTATTTAAAATATTTCAAGACGACTCTTAAATATTTCAGAGTTCTTTCCCTTGCACCATGAATATGGTTGCATTTTTTTTTTCTTAATGCAGGAAACTAAAAGCAACACGTCGATCGGATGTGAAAGAATTGGATGCTGATGTCGCTAACGTTGCAAATCACGCTTTCCTTTGATAGATTAATCGATACCTGAACTTCAGGCGGGAGGTTATCCGTAGGAACCGGTGGTATGAAATTATTTACAAAGACAGGATCAATGGCTAGAAGCTTGCAATGAAGATCTTTAGGCATGCAGTTAAAAAAAGCATAGAAAAACGTTTTCTCAGTTTCTACCTAAATGTCTCTTTGTCGTATTCATTTCCTCATTATCTTTTTCGTTATCTTTGCATCCGAATTCGATATTTACAATTTCTCAGCCATTTCGGGAATTCCTGATTATTTTATAATAATTTAATTGAAATTTCAAAAATTAAATTTGAACAGAAAGAAAATAAGAATTGTTACCTGATTTTGAAATTTTCAGAAATTTGTCCTATATTTTTGAGAAGAATAAGGCACATTCTATGAATTTTTCTTTTGATTTTTATTTCTAATACATAATTGAATAATTTTCATTTTTTCCCATAGAGAAGCGCTTTTTTCAGCAGCTCCAATTTTGCAATAAATTGGTTATTAAAAAAATTCCATGTTCTTCAATGAAATTTGTCAGATCATTACAATATATAATCTACTTTGTTTCTTTACAACAAACATTCATGGATATCTTTTTCTTTTCTATCATTTTTATTATGCTCTTATCTCAACGCACGCCACACACACACACACACACACACACACACACACACACACACACACACACACACACACACACACACACACACACACATATTCATATATATGTTTATATGAAAAAATATAGTCTTAAGTTGTACTATATTTATGGGATAAAGTGCTCAATATCAGAGATAGAACGTGTGTAAATATAAAAGTGAACATTGAAGTCAACACTTAGAGGCGACAGTCTGTTTCATGTATATGCAATCGTCAGGCCACAATACAAGTTGCAATGCTATATGCAATCGTCAGGTGGCCTGACGATTGCATATAGTATGAAACAGACTGTCGCCTTTAAATGACTTCTATACTTTATATATATATATATATATATATATATATATATATATATGAAGAAATATAGTCTTAAGTTGTACTATATTTATGGGATAAAGTGCTCAATATCAGAGATAGAGCGTGTGTAAATTTTAAAAGTCAACACTTAGAGACGACAGTCTGTTTCATGCTATATGCAATCGTCAGGCCACACACACACACACACATATATATATATATATATATGTTTATATATATGTGTGTGTGTGTGTGTGCGCGTGTGTGTGTGCGTGTGTGTGTGTGTGTGTGTGAAGGAAAAAGATCTGCATCCTAAATTAATTTAGAAAATTCTAGATTTCGCGAACACCCCCAATAGTTTTAGGGATAGGTGCAAGCTATATTTAAAAGAAAAAATCAGGATAATAAAATATAAAGATCAATGCAAACTATTAAATCAACGGAAAGAACTAATCGCGAAATGTAGACATAGAAATAAATTTCAAATTACTTAAGAATACATGTGCATACAGGGAGCCGACACTATTTATCAGACACTTTATTTTTTTCAAGTTTTAGGCAGCACACGCAGTCTGTACTGTTTATAGTGTAATGGCAATAACATTTAAAAACTCTTTCAATACTACAAATGGAAAAGCAGAATTCAAATTAGAAGTATTTTTATTTTTTTACAAATTTTCACAGGCGACAGCATTTTCCGGACATTGCGGAAACAATGCTAATATTTTATGGCAGCACACTTTTTTTCAATGACTTCTATCAGTCTATCTTCATAATGTTCGTACATATTGATAATAACGTCTCTTCGTGTTTCTAGCAGTCTATTTTTAGCATCTTGTATGCGCTGCCACAGTTCAGCCTCTCTGGTTATTTCTGGCCCGTCGTAAACAAGCTCTGCAAGCATTTCTCATATGTTTTCAATTAAATTTAAGTCTGGACTTCTTGCAGGCCATTCTAGAGTAGTTATATTTGCTTCACACATCCAATTTTTCACTGATTTGGCCACATGGATACTGCAGTTATCTTGCTGCAAAATAAAATTACTTCCCATTTCTTTTTCTATGCGGGGTAGGGCTCTCTTTTCCAAAAGTTCTCTGTAGCTCAAGCTATTTTGACGTCTTTTTAACCACTCGAGCCACAAATTTCCATTCAGAAATACCATTCCCCAAACCATGACTCCTCCTCCTCCATCTGTCTCTTGTTGAGAATAACAGGTTCACCTTTTCTCGACCATGTACACCACTCGTCAGGTCCATCGAACTTACAGCGTTTTTCATCAATAAATATCACTTTCTTGAAGTCGACATGGTTTGTTATGCAACTTTTGGCGCTTCCAAGCCTTGCCTCCTTGTGTTTTCTCTTTAATTTAATTCTTTTCTTGATTTTAGCATACTTAAGTCCAATTTCGTGTCGCTTTCTATGTACAGTTCGAACACTGACGTCAGGTTCACACTTCTCCTTTACTTTCTTCGCTGCTACCTTTTCTCCAGATGATAACAACCTCGTAACACTCCTCTTCATTCTTCTTTCTGTTCTCTTGGAAATTGTTTTTTTTTCCATCCTCTCTTCTTCTTCCGCTCATAGTCTGTACTTAGCATGTATTCAACTGTTGACTTCGGTAGCTTCATCTCAGCGGTGATCTTTCGGATGCTGAGCCCGACTTCTCTCTTCTTTTGGACCAAACTGATGATTTCTTTTGAATGCATTCTTCTTCAGGATTTTAATGTTTTCGCAGTGAATGGTAAAGATACTCAAATGTAATGGTCAGGGTAAAATTTACCTGCAGAAAATTTGCATATTGTAGACGTTCGACGACTAAATTATTAAAAAACCCGGAATTTGTGTCATGTCCGAAAAATAGTGTCGACTAAGTTGAAGTAAAAATAAAGAAAACATGAAACCAAAGACAAACCCATCAATCAATGTTCATACCATTAATGGACAATTACTGCTGAACTATCTACTCATCAACACAAAAGCTCTCGGCAGCAAAAAACACCTTTAAGCACACTTTTCAAAGTGTCCCAAAAATAGTGTCGGCCCCCTGTATATGTGGGGATGTATGTGTACGTATAGAGGCATATATGTATGGACATGTAAATGCACATATATGTATGTATGAAGATATGTACGCATATAAGTGTGTTGGACAGCATGATTTACTCATTTTGGTGTTCTGGTATTACCCACAATCTATAAATCTATAACTCAAATACATTAAAATTAATCTTAACGGATTCGAGTTTAAATACCCATCGCTTATTATTAATATTGGATACCTGTAGTACAAAAACTATTTACTGTGAATCCCAGAAAAACACAATCGGGGCTTGTATTAGAAACACCACATAGTAGGAACTAATATTAAATTACAAAGAACGAAAGGTCCTGGCCATAAATAAACTCCAACTCCAGATCGCTTCTCACCAATCGCTAACACAAACCCATTCTCATTAACAAGGGGTCTACCAGAGGAGGACTGACATTGAAAATAAATTTAAAACAATGCTCCGAGACAGACACTTAGGGGCTGATGATAGCCACGTACAGAACGGCTTGAAATAGACTATGTTGAGGCAATTTTTGCTTTTTTACTGTAATACACACACACGTAAGAATTGAGCGCTATGGCAGCCAGTATGGCTTTATACAGCGCATATATAATGCGTTAAAAATTCTCTACCGTGCACCGATAGCCTATAGCCTAAAGGTAAGAGTGACGTCAAATCGGTCGAGTTTTGATTCCGGATGACTAACCACACTGATGAGCTGTGATACAGTGAAACATGCTGTCTCTGGATGACTATATATATATATATATATATATATATATATATATATATATATACCTACGCTGAAATGCGATACAATAGTTTTAAAATTGAATTTGAAAAAAAGTTTCTTTAAGCATTTCTATTAATTTTAATTGCAAGCTTTACATAACCGATTAAATTCAATATTTCCAACAAACAAGGGACTTTGTTATAGTTCAAAATGAATTTAAATTGATATATATATATATATATATATATATATATATATATATATATATATAAACAGGACTATTCAAAACGAACGAACCAATTTCATAACGCATTGCTTCAGTTCTCAAGCATCGTCATGGAATGAGTCAGTGACCATTTGAAAGAAGAGTTTTCTAAATTCTGAATGACTGCCACAGGTGTCATGTAGTCACGTCGTATCTCCGACAACGTTAAGTCATTTGGTTTTCCCCGGAATAGTAAGTCCTCAGCAAAAGGCGATCTGCGTTCTCGAGATCGCGAAAACAAATATTGTTGTCACGGTGTAACGTGCTTTTCGGGTGCAATTCGACATTAAACCGCCTTTTCTAAGAACATTTGACGGTAGTTTAGCAGTGTCTGTGT